AAAAAACAAAAAAGCCGTGATCTTCAATAATCCATTATGTCTTTTACTGGGAAGCCCGCACCATTCTCCTGCACATGGTTGCAACACATTTAATGATGCAAGACATGTTCGAAAAAAGGTCCTAGCAGAGAGAAAACATTATAATTTCAGAATGGGCCTATAAGATCATTTTGAAAAGAGGACGACGAGATGAACAATACTTACAGCTGCGTCTTGACATACGATGAATTTCGGCCATTCGAGTTCATTTAGGACTCGAAAACTGATTTATAAAGTTTTGGTGCTATTTTTCTCATTTCATTTATTTTGGGTTTTTTTTTTTCAATTTTAGTTTGTTTAAACTTTGCTTTCATTAATTTTAGTTGTTTTAAACTACGTTTCCATGCAATCCCATATAAATAAAGGGGTTATTTCATTTTTTGTTATCATTCATTAATAAAATTTCGTAAGTTAATTTTTTTAATAATTTGGTGGATTCAAAAGTTCTTGTTCTTAAGGCTTTCGATTGAATTTCTTGTTTTGCGCTGCGTCAAGTAGTATCAGAGCCAGGTTTTCCCGTCTCTATATCTTTGATTCATAAACATGGGTAAGATACCAATTACTTTGGCAGATTTAGATGCTACAAATCGACGACTTGACGATCTTACTACTCATATCGAAGAAATTTGTCAATTGCTTCTACGAGGTGTTGGAAACAACGGGCATAATGAATAATGAGCAATCAGCAATGAACAGATGGCTGAGCCTATAGTTTGAAGATAAATTAATAGGAGGCGTGCAGTAGAAGACTGTGAATCAGAGTTGGAGGAGGAGTTTGAAGTACCACTGCAGCATCCTAATCATTAAAATCAAAATACCTTTAATGATTATCGAATTAAATTAGACATTCCTCTGTTCTTTGGAAACATGAAGATCAATGACTTCTTGGATTGGTTGGTAGAAGTTGAGAGATTTTTTGAAATTATGGATGTTTCAGAGGACAAGATGGTTAAGATGGTGGCATTCTATTTTTGAAATCTGTTGTAGTAGTATGGTGGGATCAATTACAAGATGCTCGAAGGAGACAAGGAAAGAGTCGGATTCGAACTTGGAGAAAGATGAAGCAATATTTGATGGATCGATTTTTACCTGCAGATTATAAACATATTTTATATCATATGTACATGGGATGCACACAGGGAAATCGGATAGTGTCAGACTATACCAATGAATTTACACGATTAACTGAGCGGAATAATCTATCAGAATCTGAAAATCATAGGGTAGCCAAGTATACCAATGGTTTAAAGGTGACCATTCAAGATAGAATTGGGGGTGCAAAATATTTGGACATTGCATGAAGCCATTAACATGGCAATGAAAGTGGAAATGATGAAATCTGATAAGAGGATGATTTTATATAGGAGGCCCTTACTTATCAAAACATCATCATCCACCCCTTTAGACAAAAGAAAAACCCCACAACAAGTTCCAGTCAATCTTAACAGGAGTAAGGTTGACAACAGTAGTCAGTTTGAGAACAGAGGTCAGACTCGAGGCACACCTTAAAATGTAAATCTGTATGCTAAGCCCACGGAAAAAATTTGCTATAGATGCCAAAAGCCTGGGCATCGTTCTAATAACTATCCTGAGAGAAAGCAGGTCAATTTGGTGTAATCGAAGGCAATGGACGAGGAGGAAGATATTGACGTGGAAGATAAGTATGAGGGAGTAGAGTTTCCTGTAGATGAAGGAGTAGAAATGCTCACTTTGGTACTGCAATAATCTTTTTGTCGCCTAAGGAGGAGGGACAGTGTCATTGCATCTTACGTTGACTTTGTTCTATCAAGAATAAAGTGTGTGAAGTGATTGTGGACAATGAGAGTTGTGAGAACTTTGTATCGAAAAAGTTGTGAATTTGTTGAAACTACTAGTTGAGAACCATCCTAAACCTTATTCACTTGGTTGGGCAAAAAGAGGTATTTCTGTTCAAGTTGCTAAAACATGCAAAGTACCTATTTCCATTGGTAAGCATTATAAAGATGAAATTATGTATGATGTCATAGACATGGATGCTTGCCATATCCTATTAGGTCAACCATGGCAATTTGATGTGAATTCAAATCTCAAAGGGCGTGATCATATAGTACTTTTTTCATGAGGCAGTCATAAGATCGCTATAGTTCCTCTTAAACAAGTGGACAAGTTTATTCATCAATGAGTTGAAAGTTTCCTTACACTTACAAATAATGAGAATGAGATTACAAAGTCTACAAAAGAATCTGATTGTTTTTATCCAGTTGCAATTAATGGGCTTTTTACAACAAAAAAAGAAGATGAGGGTGTTCCGTTTGAGGTGTAAGAAATATTGGCAGAATTTGAAGACTTGATTTCGATGAGCTGTCGAATGAGTTGCCTCTTATAAAGAATATTCAGAATTAGATTGATTTAGTACCTGGGGCTAGCCTTCCAAATTTGCCTCATTACCGAATGAGTCCAAAGGAAAATGTGATTCCTAGGGAGTGAATTGAGGAGCTGTTGAGGAAAGGATTCATAAGGGAAAGTATGAGCCCGTGTACAGTACATGTCCTTCTAATGCCAAAGAAGAATGGAAAGTGACGTATGCGTGTTGATAGTCGTGCCATCAGTATGATAACCATAAAGTACAGGTTTCCCATTCTATGATAGGAGGATATCTTAGATATGCTTGGGGGTTAAAAGGTTTTCTCAAAAATAGACATTCGCAGTGATTATCACCAAATCCTTTTTAATCCCGAGGATGAATGGAAGGCTGCCTTCAAGACTAATGATGGACTTAACGAATGGTTGGTGATGCCATTTGGACATTCAAATGCTCCAAGTACTTTCATGAGGATGATGAACCAGATTTTTCGTCCTTTTATTGGGTCTTCTGTTGTGGTTTATCTCGATGATATCCTTATTTACAGCAAGTTTAAGGAGGATCACCTAGTTTACTTGAGGCAAGTCTTGGAAATTTTGAATAAAAATAAGTTGTACATCAATTTGAAGAAGTACACTTTCTGTACACATAAGCTATTATTTTTAGGCTTTGTGGTTGGTGAAAATGGTCTACATGTAGATGAAGAGAAGATAAAAGTAATTCGAGATTGGCCAACATCAAAGTCAGCTTCTGAAGTGAGGAGTTTTCATGGTTTGACAACTTTCTACAAACAATATATCATGCTTTCTTCCATATTGTGGCACCATTCACAGACTGTTTGAAGAAATGAATATTCAGTTGGAGAGAGGAACAAGATAAGAGCTTTGCCTTCATCAAAGAAAAGTTGTGCACAATTTCAGCATTAGCTTTGCCAAGCTTCGAGAAGATCTTTGAGGTAGAGTGTGATGCTAGTGGTATTGGTATTGGGGTTGTCATTTCTCAAAAGAAGAGACCCGTGGCTTTCTTTTTAGAAAAGCTAAGTAATGCCAGACAGAAGTATAGTACCTATGAGTAAGAATTCTATGCAATTGTGAAAACTTTGAAGCAATGAGAACACTATGTTGTACAGAATGAGTTCGTGTTGTTCACTGATCATTAAGCTTAAAATTCATTCACAGTCGAAAACACATAAGCAAGATGCATGCTCGATGGGTGACTTTCTTCCAGAAGTTTCCTTTTGTGATTAAACATAAATTTGGAAGTACAAACAGAGTTGCAGATGCACTGAGTCGGAGAGCTTCCTTATTGATCACATTATCACAAAAAATTGTTGGGTTCAAGTGCTTGAAAGAACTGTATGCAGATGATCCCGACTTTAACTAGATTTGGAGCAAGTGTGTGAATCTGGAATCAATGGTGGATTTTTATATTTGTGATGGATATTTGTTCAAAGGTGGTTCATGTTTTATCTCTACGTGAAAAGTTGATTCGAGATCTGTATGGTAGAGGTTTAAGTAGGCATTTGGGGCGTGACAAGACAATAGCCAATTGGAGGCTAAGTATTATTGGCCGCAATTGAAGCGAGATGTTGGAATTATAGTCAGGAAATATTATACTTGTCAACTGTTAAATGGTCAAGTGCAAAATACTGGTTTGCACGTGCCATTTCCTGTCCCTCAGGGCATATGGCAAAATTTGGCTATGAATTTTGTTTTGGGATTACCTCGTACTCAATGGGGTGTATATTCTATTTTTGTAGTGGTTGACAGGTTTTTCGAAATGACACACTTCATAGCTTGTCGGAAGACTTCAGATGCATCGAATATTGCCAAACTATTTTTCAAGGAGATTATTATATTGCATGGAGTTCCCAAGTCTATCATATCAGACCGCGATACAAAATTTTTAGAGCACTTTTGGATTACTTTGTGGAAGTTGTTTGAAACAATTTGAATCTTAGCAGCACCGCCCATCCCCAAACTGATGGACAAACCAAGGTTACTAATCGTACGCTTGGAAACATGGTTTGAAATGTTTGTGGAGATAAGCCTAAACAATGGGATCTTGCACTACCTCAAGTGGAGTTTGTGTACAACAGTGCGGTTCATGCTACAATAGGACTGTCCCCATTTGCTATTTGTATACAAAGGTTCCTTACCATGTGGTGGATCTAGTGAAGTTGCCCAAAGGCAACGACCTATTGCTGCTGCTGAACATCTGGCAGAAGAGGTGTTAGTAGTCTGTGATGAAGTAAAATAGAAGTTGGAGAAAACGAATGTGAAGTATAAGGCAATGACAGATTCACAACGATGGGAAGGAGACTCGATGATGGTGTTTTTAAGAAATGAGAGATTTCCCATTGGTACTTAGAACAAGCTGAAACCAAAAAAGTATGGACCTTTCAAAGTGCTTAAGCGGATTAACAACAATACCTACATTATAGATTTACCAGCTTCTATGGATATTTCTCGAATGTTCAATGTGGTCGATTTGTATGAGTTTCATAAAGATGGTAAGCCTTTATATCCAGATTATAACTTGAGTTTGAGTTCTTCAGAGGTGGAAGGGACTGATGTAAGGAAAAAGGTACTAGTAGAGGAAAAAATCCTAATTCTGGAATGGGCTCATAAGACCATTTTGAAAAGAGGACGACGAGATGAACAATACTTACCGCTACATTGGAAAACTAATTTTGGGTTTAGGACTCGAAAACTTATTTTTAAAGCTTTGGCTCTATTTTTGTCATTTCATTTATTTTGGCTTTTTGGCAATTTTAGTTTGCAATTTTCGTTTAGGACTCTTTCAATTTTAGTTTGCTTAGACTTTGTTTTCATTAATTTTAATTGTTTTAAACTACGTTTTCATGTAAACCTTTATAAATAAAGGGGTTATTTCATTTTTTTGTCATTCATTTTAAAAATTTTGTAAGTTTATTTTTCTTCATAATTTGGTGGATTCCAAAGTTCTTGTTCTTAAGGTTTTCGCTTGAATTCCTTGTTTTGTACTGCATCATTTAACGTTATTGTTTAAATTTCTCTCTCATATATATTGAGGCAACTCCTTTTTTGTAACTTCTTGTTTAAAATAGCTTTATTTTAGGTGAAATATAAGTTACACCTCTAATGAAGGTGTGGTCGATAAATGTGTGATCCATCTTAGCATTGTTTTTCCCTATGTACCAATAATGTACTATATGAAATTTACATGCTCGTGTAAAATATGAATAGGAGATTTCTAAAAGGAAAGGTAAAGAAATCCGTAAAGAAAAGCTTTTAACTTGTTAATTTTGTACAAGTTAGACACTGCTTTATATACACACACACACGAGAGAGCCATTAAAGGAAAACTTACATTTTCTAAAGAAAAATATTCTTGTCATGAGAAATCAAAATTGAAGCTTTGTCTAGGGCTTTGTAAATATATCAGCCATTTGATCACTTGATGGGACAAACTGCGAGATTAGGTCTCCATCTGGTACAAATAAAAATCTATATTTTAATTTAAATCAAAGTCAAGAATCAATTTTAACAACATGTTATCGGTCCCACAACATTTCAACCACACATTTTATTAACTTTTATCAAAATCTACTAAAAAACTGATTTTAATCCCCCCACCAAACAAGGGCTAGATTTAGAGCTCTGACAGCCACCTTTTTCTCACACAAAGTGATAGTACATCTCAATGTGTTTTGTTCTAGCTTGAAATATAGGATTAACAGTCAAGAATAATGCATGTAAGTTGTCCCACGACAGTAGTGACGTTTAGTCAAGTTTGATTCCAATACATCAAAGAAGAAAAGAAAACCATGTGATTTCTGTCGTGTTGAAGCTAGTGATATATGTACTTATATTCAACACTTAGGTCCCCATGAGATGCAATTACTCCAAAGAATACCCAATATGCTATTTGCTTATTCTAATATCAGAACATCCACTCCAATCTGCATCACTTTAGTAAGACCTCGTGTTAAATATCTAATACCAATATCTATAGTTCCTTTAAGATATCGCAAGATCCATTTGACTACTTTCATGTCCTTCATTTGGTAACTGAAATCGTTGGAAAAGTTTATTTTCAACTTGAACAATGTCCTGTTTTGTTTTTGTTAGATATTGAAGGGCTCCTACAATCGATAATCAATAGTATCAGTATTTTTTGAAGTCTTGTGTTGAAGCTTGAGTGTTTAGGGCCATTAGATTTACAACATTCTTGCTTGACTAAGAAAATCTTTTGCATACTTGGATGAACATTTGATCTTTAAACCAAGGAAGTACCGAAGCTTTCCCAAGTCCTTAAGAGCAAATTCTACACTAAGTTGTTTTATGAACTCTTCGATGAATCTTTTATTACAACCTCTAAGCACGATATCAACATATACAAACATTAGTCTTATCATGTTATCTCTTCAAAGAACACACATAAAAACAAATGAACTTTACTAAAATACCAAGTTGAAGTAAATGTTGTGAAGTCTATAAATCCAAGCCCCAGGTGCTTGTTCTAAACCACAGAGAGATTTGTTTAGTTTGCAAGCATAATTGGATTGAGCAATCTTGAGTCTTTGAATCCCTGAGGTTTGCTCCATCTACACAGTTCTCTTACAATGCCAGTGAAAGTGCATTTTCCACATCATGTTACCACATTGTCCATCTTCAAGAAATGGCATGTTTAATTTTAGTTAAGAGATTTGATTTCTTCTTTCATTACATCTGTCACAAAGCCCTTTAAAATTTCTTATATTTTTATCCAAAGGCATCAATCCCTTTAATGGACATAAGAGTTTCAATCAAAATATCTTCCTTTTCTTTTGTCATGGAGAGACGTTATTCTTCTAAAGAATTGAATAACATTATAAGAAATGTTAACACATCAGTAATCAATGTCCACATTCTCTAACAATTAAATTCTACCTCAAATTTATAAGAGAAATGATAAGCACTTTTTATAAATAACATTAAAAGGGGTGTATTCAATTGAAACTTTTAATGACTTTTTGAGATTTAAAAAGTTTAAGGGTATTCAATGTAGACTTTTTAAAAATCTTTAAAAGAATTGGTGTATTTAATTGAGACTTTTAAAAAGTTTTTCAAAATCACAATGTATTCAATTAAATTTTTTTAGAATTCTCTATAAATCTTGGGGTATTTAAATTTTAATGACTTCTAGAGAATTTTATAAAAGTCTCTAGAATACTAACTTTTAAACAGAAAGTACTCCTATAAAATTCCCAAATTTGTCTCTCATTAATCACAAGTTTTGGTAGACTTTCATAAAAAAATATATATATATGTATTTTCTTAAATATTTCTCTTTTCTTTTCCTTTCTAAGAATATTAGAATTGTTATTAAAATTTATTTTTTCTATTTATTATATTTATTTCTATTTATCTTTCTCATTTCTCTCTCTCATGTTGTTTATCTCTATTTTTTTATTAAAAATTAAATTAAATTTTTATAACTTTTTTCCTTTCTCATTCATCTTTTTTTTTTGTGAGAATTATTTATTTTTTGTTAAATTATAAAATTTCATATAGAGGGTGTTTGATAGCCATTTTTATGGAAAAAAGATTTTAGAATAGTAGATTGATGGAGAATGTGGATGAAAAGTTTTTTATTTACGTATAATATTATTTTAATGATGAATATGTGGTTGAAAGTTTTCTTGATGTTTCCATAAAGTGTCTATAGAATTATCAAATCCTTTCTTTCCACTCTATCCCTTCTTGGTCCGGGCTTACCAATCCCTATGAGCTCAGAGTCGGCTAAGAGGAAGCCCCCTTCTATTAACTAGTAACAAAAAAGCTATTCATGTCTGTGGGGAGTGAGCTCGGGTGAAAGCTTTGCCGGATGGTATACCGACATGGGCTGACCAATCTCTCCCTTTAAAATTTCAATAGAAAAATAGGAAACAAATTTTTGAGTTTCCGAAACATTTGCTAGAGTTGTCTCAAAGTTTTGATTTCTGGCACGTCCAAAATAGAAACACCAGTAGGTTTCTGTGCATTCCAGCAACTTTTAGAACAATTTTTTCTTTATGATCATCGGCCTCATAGGTTTTTTTCAATTGTGAAAGAACAAATGAATAGAACGTGCAGAAGATTAAAGAGAATCCAATATATGAATATCATTCTCCGTATAAATATGAGTTCATTCGTACCCGCTGTTTAAAAATTTCTTCATGCATCAGCATCGTCTTCTTGATGGAGTCGTCGTTATGTGATTCAAGCGTCCTATCCATTCAAAGCTTGACTTAGCACCAATCCCTTTTTGAGTAACAGTGAACATTCAATGGATTTGCAGCAAAGGTTTCGTCTGCAGCTATAGCCGACATATTTGTTGTGCATTGAAGTTTGGCTGCCATGCCTGAAAGACAAATTCCG